GTGTGTGTGTGTGTGTGTGTGTGTGTGTGTGTGTGTCAGAGTGTGTCAGATCCCATAAGGAAATAAAAAAAAGTGAATTCTAAGAATGAAATATGTCTGATCTGCTTTGGTATTAAATTCCCATACTGTACAAATAATCACAGAAAATCATCATTTCAATTTTAAGAAATGAAATAAATATCCACTTCAGTTAGTAAATCTTTTAACGGGAGAGTACAACTTGCTGAAATAGCAATATAACAGTACAAATTACTGGAGGATCTACAAAATTAACAATTATTTAAAAAATAAAATTTTAATAATTGGAACAAGAAAAAGTCAAAAGCGAAAATCAAAAATCGACGAGTACTTCCCTCCCACACGCAATCTTATATCTCTTTTTCTTGGCACTTTCAGCACTATAAATAGCTGTTAAGTGCTATAAAAATAATTGGACAGGAATTTAAAAGAGTTGCAATGAGTAAGGATAAATTAGCCTGATAGGCACTAAACATTAGGCAGGTATCGCATTGGTGTGAAATGATTGAGCAGGCATAATAACTGGTATGAGAGGAATGATTTTACAGAAATGCAAAATAACCGGTAGTTTTAATTAGAAATATGAGAAAATGAAAATGAAACGAACCTTAGCAAGAGTATAGGCAGCCATTCGCAGAATGTATGTCTCTTCCAGAGACAATCACTTCGCACTACGATCTAATTTATGTAAGTTATGGGCAATAAATAATAGCAGTAGCAAAGATTTCAGCATCTTTCTCGATATCATCAAAATCACACTGATGGCAGATGGCCATAAAAAAGCCTTCAGAGTAAACGCTATGACTTATGCGCACGGTGGTAATAAGCAGAAGACAGCGCAACGACGGATTCTCATAATGACGACCAAATCATTCTGCTTATCATTCCTTTCCTTCCATTCCTTCATTGGGTCGATCTTTCATACTGAAATATACATGCATATCATTCTTTATGAATAATATAGTAGAACGTTGGTGATTAGTGCTCACAGTTATACTAAATCAGATAAGATATCATGGATCACTATGATGATATATTATCATGATAATAAAGGATGATCAGTATAACAGTAAACATTATCAGTAATAAAATCATTGTGCAAATGAAACAGCAGCAGTGAAAAAAATAATCTGATGAGGTTGAAATAAACCGCCATTGCAAAAGTTGTTCCGAACAGTCTGTTAACTTGCATCTTCTTGTATGTCTATCAACACACACACACACACATATATCTACACACCCACACACACTCACACCCACACACACACACACACACACATCATACATACAGACAGATATGTGTGTGCACACCCACCACACATCTGCATGGATTTGTGTGTGTGTATATATGTGTATGTGTGTGTATGTGTGTGTGTATGTGTGTGTGTATGTGTGTGTACACATAGGCTCTCATGGCATTCGAGAGCAGTAAACAAGCTAGGAAAAGCAGAAAGCAAGACTAGGCTTACTGCCACGAATCAATAAGTTCACCTTAAGACAGCGATCTATTAGAGCACACATATATATACACGATATTCGGATACGTCAAAGGCCGTGCAAGCATAGCTGGAGTGATTCTCGTAGAAGAAATGTTTATTCGTATACGTGTGTGCGTATTTATGTGTGTACGTGTGTACATACGTATATGTGTGTATGTGTGTATGTGTATGTAATCAGCTATTTAAAATACACAGCTTAAAATATACATCCCACACACATATACGCACACACTATTCGTCATTCCCTTTTAAATAAATTTATTTTAAATATCAAAATAAAAAAAGACATTAACAAATTTGGTTTATTTTAATGAAATGATTTTGAATCAATTTGTTGCAAAATACACACGCACACACACACACATATACATAGATCCAAATAAGGTCGAATTATAATTTACTCATTTAATTAATACAAATTGATCGTAGCGTTGTTTAACATTCCTTAGATAATGAATTAACGCTGGACCAATTATCACTTCCTAATCTTTACAAAATAAGTTGTATTTAGCAAGCAATTTGCTAAAAGGAAGATTTCAAAAGAGAAAAATGATTGAAAATAAAAAGAATGAGCAATAATAAGGTCAGCTATATTATCTTGACCTTTCTGTGGACTGTTTTTTCATTAATTATTGCAGTAAATAAATGCAAAAGATTGTTTGCCTGTTCTTTTAAAATTATTTCTTTGCGATGATTGTAATCATTCATTATTGCCTTCCACTGATTAGATGATTCGAATGATTGGATGGTATTCAAGAGTGATAAGTTAAAGCGCATTTAACATCTTAAGATTGTCCGGAGAGAAAAAGAAGTTTGCTGCTCTGAAACGTTTACTCACGTACGTTTTGAAAATAGAAAATCGTACGTATAACTTGATCTTCTGATTTATCACATGATGAATATGTATGACATGTACAGATGTTCCACTACAAATTCTTTTCTATAATTCAGCAAGAAATGATCTTTGATCACTCAATGACTGTTTCAATGTTTTCATTTTAATAAAAATTTTATAGTTGAAGGTTGTTTGCATGATAGAATATTATTTAGTCTGCGCTTAACTATATAAAATAAAAATTAGGAATACTTTTAGAATACTACCATAACAAATTATCACATATTCCATTTTCAAAAAGTGCCTGTGTTTGATGACAAAATTACTTTAGTCTGAAAGTTTTTGATTTGCATGCAATTAAGCAAAATTGTTAGCAATATAAATAGTATGTAAATTCTATCATTATGGCTAAATTGACACTAATGGCCTCATATGTTGAGTAGGTCAATGGGGCCATTAATTAATGAAAATGAATAATTCGATGAATTTGTTTACAAGTACGCAAATTGCAGATGTAGATTTTGCTCATGAGAATGGAATGTTATTTTCAATTAAAATACATTTTCATAATACACTACAAGGGATCAATCGAAATAATTTTAGATAACACGTTCATCGCTGACGTAAAATTTGTTTTGCTTTACTTAAATTACTATATTTTCTAAATTAACCAGTGAATTTTGCAATAATTGTTTACTTTTGAAAAACTTTGAAGAAATAATAATTCTTACAGCATTATATAGCAAGCATTATTTTATTAGAATTGCTGATTCATTGAATTTTCAACTTGACATCATCATTGGACACTTACATTATGAGTGATAGCTTTAGTAAGGGGATCTTCATTTTTCTTCCTTTCTCGAATTTTTTTCTCTTTCTTTTCTCTCAAATTTAATTGAGTTAATTTTTAGCAATAATAATTCTACGTCTATTACTGCATGGTCACATTAAATATATGAATAAAAAAATTAACGCTTTTATCTAATTGATAACACTCTAATCTTTCAAGTATATCAGTAATGCAAGGAAGTATGATGAATTCATTCGGATTATTTTACATTTCAGTTATCTAATTCTTCTAATTTCAATTACATTCTAATCCATTCATGACGCTCATCTAAATGCATTGTGCATTAAAAATTCTTTAATTTTGGATTCTTAGCATGCAAAAGTTTACTTCACTGTCGCCAATAAAAAAATTCAAACTTTTTTTCTATATGTTTGAAAAATGATAGAATTTATTTATTCTTCTGTAATGCTCCTCAGAGAATGAAATCTCTCTGATGGATACGAAGATTTGATCTGTTGGATGATGCTTCAATTTCCGTTTTGAAATACAATTTATCATGAAAAGGGGTTTGCCATTAAGAAGATTAGCAGGAATGAAAATTACTATCATTATGATGAATACTAATTAATCAAGGAACTACAATTCTTATTCATATTTTGTTTTATTCGCTTCTTATTCTAAAGTTTTACGTTTTAATATGTTATTTGAATGTGACATCATTTGATTACTGTATCTCTCGAATGAATCAATCAATTAAATTACATCTGTTTAGAGTTATATATTTGGTTGCAATTTAAAGTCTAAGAAATTATTGATGTAATGCTTTTGGATAGCATAAAAAACCAATGACAACATTGAGAAATTGATTCCTCAATGTCTTTTTCAAATTTCTCACACTGTTTCTTCTTTATAAAATGCAATATCAATCCTAAAAACAAAGGCCTTCATCGACCGAGAAGAATGAGAGAAAAGATGAATGCCATTTCTCTTTATTATTTATTTAATGTTGTGCATACGTCCTGCATACCACGGTTGTTTTATTTTTATTAAAAAAAATCCTAATTATATTTAGTTCTAATTATCGATTCTTTTCATGAAACAATTGTATAACAATTAATTTAGCTTTGCCAAAAATTTTCTTACTTCTTTAAAAAGTTATAATCTAAATTTAACTTTACCACTACTAATTCTTTCCGATTATTTTTGTTCCATTCCTGTTGAAAAGAATCACCTTCAAGTTATATTCCATAGCCATGCTGCTATTAATAAATTTTTATTAAAATATTGTAACTTTGAGAATGTGCTTGGAAGTCTAAAAAGACAGCAATTAATGACAAATATGTTGCAGAAGTACTCAAAATCTTCTTTAAGTAATATTTGTGGGTCGATATTGTAAATCGATTGGTTGTCGAGTGTCATAGAGTGTTGGTGCCTGCAATAATAAGTGTTTTAAAATAGACATTAGCATGGTACTAAAGAAACAAATATGTTTTAGACTTTGCTTGATTTAGGCCTAACACAAATTATATTTCTACTCATTAGCTGTGTTAGATTTAGGCTTAGAAAAATTAGTTTCTGCATTCATTGCATATATTACTTTAAAGAATTAAAAAAAAAATCTGGAAATGTATCGCCTCAAATTTACCTGAAGAAGAATTGTAATGGTTCCTGAAAAGCATGCAATTGAAAAAAGTAACAAAAACAATCGGTCCAGTACCATTGCAACGTAATTCCAATCTTCGTCCACCTAAATTTATTTCAAATTAAAGGAAATAAATTCCCTATGATTTCGAGATAGGATTTTTTTGTCAAAATGATTTCAGTTTTCTGCAGAAAACTGAAATCATTTTAACATTCTGTTCTATACACTCATTCAAATGACTTCTCAGTTGATAGCACAATGTAGCATATATTTTTGACTTATTTATGATACCGCTATTATTGCAACTTTCAAACCACAGTGAGATATCCACTTAGGCTCCCTAGAATATATCCATTCAGGCCTCCCGGAATACATCCACCCAGGCTTCCCAGAACATATCCCTTCATCTTTGCTAGAATTTTTGTGACAAAGAAAGCTACATCACAAGAAAGCACATACTTTAGCATCTTTGTCTTTTTTCTTGAGCAATTCCGCAATAAAGCAGATATTTTCAAATGCTTTTATCACATGCGGTGAATGGTATAACTTCCGAATCCTCTCATCCGGTTCAGTCCGAATTAAAGTTTCACCATCTCCATTTACTATATGTTCATGGTAGTTTATCGTTATCCGTTCACCTGTAGATAGTGCTATTTTTGTAATTTTGGAAAAAAATACAAGTTTCTCAGTGCTATTTTCTTAATTTTAGGAAAAAAATATGAGTCTTCTTGTCGATGGCTACAAATGATTTGATTAATCCGACTTATGCTATTCGTTCAATATTTTAATGATTGTTTCTGCTTCTGAAAATTTTCAAAAGTTGTCTTTTCATTAATCGGAAGTGGAAAGTAGCAAGATTCGGCACAAGATCAAGATCATTATAAGCTTTTGATGGTGTGAGTGGCTGACAACGCTCAAGTAAATGCTATGCCAAGCATGATTATTCATGACCTCTCTATTCTGAATTCATTCATCATTCAAAGATCTAACAGTAAAATACAATTTTCCGCTTCTTATCATACCTTTACAAAACAGATCGTCTGCATCATTTATTGGCCGTCTCATAAATAACATTTTGGGTAATGTCTTAAGAAAAATCCATTTTACCCATTCAGGCATTTGATGTGTCGTAGGCTTTCGGAAATGCAAATTCAGGGCTGTAATTTTAACTTTAATTGAGTCTTGCTAATTTCATTTCTACAATTTTCACTAAGGTTAAAGAAAATTGACTTGGATATTACAGTATTAAGTATTAAAATTCAATTGAGAAATCTTTTAAAAAAAAATCTAACCATAATTGGTCTTGATGACCGATTATGGTTAGATTTTTAAAAGATTGCTCAATTATTTTGAAATTTATGATTATCTTTATTTTTTCAAACATAATTCCATGAATATTTAATGCCCTCATTTATTCAGCAATTTTATTTTGTTAAATTTCAGATTTTATATTTATATAATTTTAAAAAAAAAAAGATAACTAACATATGACAGTGACTATTACGCTGAGTGTAACCATAATCATAGTAAATAATAAATATTTACCAATTAATGGTAAACTAATACTGGTAGCAGGGATAATTTCCGTCTGAAAACTATTACTTCCATATTAATCAGAAATGTAATAATGAAAAAAATAAAAAAACTGCAAAATCAAACAAAAATTTTAATTGTGATTAACTAACCAACAGTAAATAGAAGACAGTTAAGGTAACCAGAATTGATATACAAAGGGTAACTTTTTCACCGCTATGCGATGGTAAATAGAAAACGAGAATGGTTAGAAATGATATGCCAACACATGGAAAAACCAAATTTACTGTATAAAACAACGGTTTCCGACGTAATTCCAAATAATACTGTAATTTATTAACTAAAATTTGAATCAAAATACTATTTTATCCTATCTCTTAATTAAATTAATTTAATGAATTGGTTTTTTAATTTGTTCAATTATTTGTTAAGATAATTATAGAAAAGAAAATAATTGCATTATTAAACGAAAGATATGAAAATTTGAATGAAAATTAAAATCTCTTACTGAGGGACTTTGATAAATTTTAACATGAAAACCACAATAAATTTACCATAATGTCAGTATAAGCTTCATCCGGACAACAGCTAGAATAATTTTTAGTTCTTCTTTTTGCCACTCGTGATATAATATCCCACTCTACCGATGGATAATAATCCGAAAGATCTGATATCATATGTGAGATAAAACAAGTATGAAACGGATCAATCAATAAATAAATACATCTTTGATACTATTTTGATTGTATTATCACTACACTCTAAAAAGTTATTTGTTTGTGATTTTTTTTTTGATTTCACACAACAACAATTTAAACTTAAGCCAATTTAATCGGTAATGCATGAATAATTTTATAATGTGTTGTCAATTAAATATGAAATGATTGAATTTGTATGCAATAATAAAAAACATTATTGTTCTTCATCAAATTTCATATCGATTTATCTTCCCCAATAATATATGCAATTTAGATCTCTAAGCAAAAGGTTAAATTTAAATTTATTAAATTAAATAATAAATAATTTCTAAAAGAATAATTTACCAATTCCATCTTCAACAATGGTGATATTATCCACTTCACCGTTTGCACTCGTTTCAAGCTCATAATGCGGCTCACCGCCTAATAATTCGAGATCCAACAAATCTTGAGAGTATGTCCAAGAACCAAACTATAAATTATTTTCATTTAATCGCAAGAATTTTTTTAAAAAAAATACTCGAAATTTTTTGCTTTAATACTTACAGCAAAAATATTATAAACATTATAAAATACAGAAACGAATACTTTAAAATGACAACGTTGTTCATCGAAGGGAAACCTGCAACAATCATTTATTTTAAAATTTTGTTGTATAAGTGAGCTTTTGTTAACTGAATATATTGCATATATATATATATCAATTGAACACTTTTTGATGAAATTTATTTGATGAAAGCTTTAAACATCAAATTTATTTAAATGTTCCTTGATGAAATTAAACCAATACCAATTTAATCAGCGAATAAATCAAAAATAATAGTTGGACAACTGGAAAATATTGACTTAACGTGAAGAGAAAAGAAATACCATCTGACATCAATTTGACATAAACTTTTAAAAATTGCTGGTGGTTCCCAGGTCACTTCACCATTATACCGAAGAGTAGCCTTTGTACTAATTGTTATGTTGTAATTGCTATCAGCACTTAAAAAAAATTAAAAAAAGAGCGAAAAGAAATCTTTCTATATAAA